ATAGATATTATTACTAATAGCTCTTAATTACTAATAGAACTCTAGGTAAATTGTGAAGCTACTAAATAACATGTTCTGCAGAATACTATAATGGGGAAAAAGAAATATGGAAGTAGCATTTATATGTCTTTATATTTTACATGTGTATGTTCAAAACATGCATTTTTTAGTGACTGGGATTTAGTTGTCTGGGTTTTGCTCTTTTTTTCCTTTGCTTTGTTTTAAAGTTCAAGATAATTCTAGTGTAGCAGATCTACAGAAAGTTACTGATTGACTAAACGAATTTGGGTAAATCCATACAGCCTTGAAAAGAAACAAAAATCTCAGATGGAAACCAGGGAGGTGGCTCAATGGACTGGAGTCCAGTTTAGATCCCAGCACAATATGGTACCCCGAGTGCTTCCAGGAGTGACCCCCAAACACTGAGCCACAAATAACCTTCTACCAAGCACTATGTATTGTTCCAAAACAAAACAAAAGTTCAGCAGCACAAGAGTTAAGGCACTTGCCTTGGACACAGTTGACCAGGTTCAATCTATAGCACTGCATATGGTCCCCCAAACACTGCCAGGAAGGAGTGATTCCTGAACACAGAGCCAGGAGGAAACCCTAAGCACCACTGGATATGATCCAAAATTAAGTCAAAAAAATCTCAGAGGATCACAGTTTGAGTAAGATACAGTTTCTTAATTTAATATGTATATAATTGACACAAATAAGGCCAATAACATTAACCATAGTGTCTAGTTTTTACCTGTCCTAGACTTTTCAAGCATGGAAATGTATAAAATAAGCACTAAAATCAGCTTCTACTGGTCAGACTTGTTCCCCCCAATAAGTATCTTATAGTGCCAATAAAGTCTTTCTTTCTAATCAATAATAAACAATAAACCACTAAGTTATGATCTGAATTTCTCCATATTAAGTCATTATATACACACTGCTGTATGCTACATAATATAGCACTGTCACTGGAGTACTGTCCTCCCATTGTTCATCGATTTGCTCAAGTGGGTACCAGTAACGTCTCTCAACAAATTGTGGGACTTGTTACTGTTTTGGGCATATTAAATACATCACGGGGAGCTTGCCAGGCTTTGCTATGATGGCGAGATACTCTCAGTAGCTTGCCAGGCTCTCCGAGAGGGGCGGAGGAATCAAACCTGGGTTGGCCATATCAGCCCCATGCAAGGCAAATGCCTTACCCACTGTGCTATCACTCCAGCCCATATTAGTAGCATTGCAATATAATATTGATAATATAAAGGTTCATCAGGTATCTTCATTATGGATTCCACCTTCTATTAACTGACAATAGCCCTCTTGGTTATAGGAGTTTTTTCCTTGATTCTACTTTTCCATATTAATATACCACATCTGTCTTCCTCTGGCATTTGAGATAACTTTTTCTAATCATTTCTCTTTTTAAATATTCTGAGATACTTTCTCAAATAAAATTAGAATGATAGATTGATTTACAGGATTTTTTAAAGGAATTATCCAATATCTTTGTTGTTCAGTAGTAAAATTTTATTCATTTATACTTATTATTTTCTATGCACTTCTATCTGTATTTTATAATATTTATTATTTCTTTTTCTATATGTATTTTTCTTTGCCTTCCCTTATTACTTGGAATATTTTCATTCTACCGGTGACTTTATATCCATGCAATACTAAATTCTCACCTAATATATCTCAGCTATTCACTTCATTTCTTTTCTTCTGATACTGGATGAGTCATTTTGATCTATAGATTTAAATCTTCAATCAGTCAAAGAGCATCAGTTACCCAGGTTTCATTCTTGTTTGTTATACTGTATAGTCATCATAACTTGCTTATCCTCTGTTTTCACTTCCTAAACTTGCTCTTTATTTAGGAAGAAGGTGTTTGGGAACCATAGCTGACAGTGCTCAGGGGCTACTCCAGGTTGGAGCTAAGGACTTGCTCCCAGTAAAGCTCAGGAGACTACGCAGTCCCTAGGGACTGAAGCCCAGGCTCCCGTATATAAAGCATATGCGCACTGCTCTGGTCCCTGAACTTGTTCTTAATTTACTAACTGGCTTTCCACAAAATAAATTCCATTCACTGTTTGTGGCTGGAGCGATAGCACAGCGGTAGGGCATTTGCCTTGCGTGCAGCCAGCCCAGCCGAGCCAGGTTCGATTCCTCCGCCCCTCTCGGAGAGCCCGGCAAGCTACCGAGAGTATCTCGCCCGCACGGCAGAGCCTGGCAAGCTCCCCGTGACGTATTCGATATGTCAAACACAGTAACAACAAGTCTCACAATGGAGACGTTACTAGGCCCGCTCGAGCAAAAATCGATGAACAACAGGAGGACAGAGTTTGTTTGTGTTTTGCTTCTAATGCCATTTAACATTCTTTTTCCCATTTTAGTTTTCTTACATTACTTCCTTAACTTGGCCAACCTTTCATCTGTATTGTTTCATCCACTTTTCCTTCCTTAGAGTTATTCTTTTTTTCTAGAAGCTTGCTAAAAATATGTCACTAAATATCCATTTTGATTTTCTCTAGCAGACCCTTTTCAAAACTTGGTTAGTTTCCACCTTCCAGTGCTGTTCTGCTTTCTTAGGCACAGAATCTTTCCTTCCAGTCACCTGTGAGGGCTTTTACCTTATTTATTATGAAAAGGTAAAAATCTACCCAGATTTCGGCTGGAGTGACAGTACTGCAGGTAGGGCCCTTGTCTTGCACATGGGTTTGATCCCTGTCACCCCATATGATCCCCCAAGTCCCACCAAAAGTGATCCTTGAGCACAGGGCCAGGTGTAAGTCCTGAGCATAGCTGGGTATGGCCCTAAAACAAAACAACAGCAATCTACTCAGGTTGTTGTTTCGAAACTGTGGGTAGATTCCTCTTGGCTATTTTCACTGCACAAAAAAGCTATACTCTTCTCAGATTCTGGGCTGGAAAGCTGTTTGTGACATTAATTAATCATGAAGCCAGTGGGAATGAGAAAAAAAAGCTGGATAGGGTACCTGTCAGCAGGGGAATTACATCTCTGGACAATTTCCTTTTTGTGTCTGGTAAAGTTACTAAGTCAAAAGACCATATTTTTCATGCCTGATCTTTAATTTGATCTGGCCTTCAATCCAAATATATGATGTGGTTATGCAACTTCCTAGATGTTGTGTGGCTCCTCTCGGCCACTTACTGGCATTTTATTTGGAAGAGTCACATTTATGTTCATCTTGTCTGATTGGTTCGTTTTTATTTTGTGGTGAGGAGTTCAAACTTGGGATCTCACACATGCAAGGCAATTACTTTACCCCGGAGCTACATTCCCAGTCCTGGGAAGCCACATTTGAATTTTTCCCTACGGTTCCCCAGGGCAGTGATTTCCAAAGCTGATGATCCACAACAACAAAAATACTTCCTTGTAGAGAGATTCCTGATTGTTCCAGGGTTTGTTACAACTTCTAAAGAATATGGGTTCCCCCAAATCTCCAACTGCATATATTTCCCTGCTTCCTCTGGATGGAGAACTAGAATTCAAGTCCTAATACCACATAATCCTAACTGCCCCCATGGATAATCAAAAAAAAGTTTTTAATCATCAAAGGATGTTGTATTCCTGACAACTTTCAGCACTGACTTAACTTTTGTTTTAATTAGTAAAAAGAGGGCTAGATCTCTATATTAAACAGCCATCTTTCCCAGAATTCTTCCTAATCTATGAACATTTTTGTAAGAGAGAAACATTTGACATTCAGAATTCTTCCTAATCTATGAACATTTTTGTAAGAGAGAAACATATGAACATTTTTGTAAGAGAGAAAGTAATTTTCTTTACAGATGTTCCTCACTAAAAATCCTATTTAGAGTTGAGGATCCAGCATACTCACTGAGAGAAATGGCTCGCCCAATGATTATTTTGATAATGGATAATTTTGATATTTGATATGATTTCTAGCCAGGTGAATCTCAATGAAGAAAAACACTTCCTTCCTTAATAAAAATCAAACCTAGATAGGAAGGGTGCTAAAAACTCGTACCACCCACCTGCCTCTTCCACACAGGGATATGTATTCCCTCCCATATTTATCTCAACATGTGAACAGAAAATAAAGTGACTGCTCTTGTCCAAATACCTTCTGGCCTTTCCAATTAGACTCAACAAATATGGCACGGGAGCTTGACAAATTCACAGCACTCTGTAAACATTAGCACTTGCTCTTCACACTTGACCTTCCCGGCTTCTCCACTGGCCCACCAGGGGCAACCATTAATAAGACACAAACTACATGCTTCTGTGCACATGGCAAAATGAATGCCCGTAACGCATTAAAATATCCTGGTTTTCTCTCCCACTACATGGTGAGCTTTTAGAGAACTGGAACCATGATGCAGTCATCACTGCATCCCTAGTACCTATCACAACTCCCAATAAAAGGAAGCTTTTACAAGTATATGAGTTGAGAGAGGCAAGGCTGTAACTCAGCAGCCGAGTGTATGCTTTGTATCTACTAAGCATCCTGAGTTCAATCCCCAGTACCAAAAAACAGATCACTAATAAAATCCTGGAACCAAACTGGAACTAGTCCCAGCCTCACCCTTAAGGAGAGCATAATCCACAGAGGTACCCTGACTTTGTCACGCTCCTCACTCCATCTCAGGGAACCCAGCACACAGAGATACCAGCAATCTCCGTGTCTGGATTTCAGCCTCGCCACGTGTGATGTTCTGGCAAATCCTCTCCCAGGATGGCTGGCCACTGTCAGCAGGAAGAGCCATCCTTCCCCCTCCTTCCCCTGCACCTCAGAGCCACAAGACCCCATGAGAGAGAAGGGGCAGGCAGCGATGTATGGGGGAGGTGACCTTGGACTTGACTCCACTCCTTGTTCTGCCATCCGCCAGCTGGTACAACACCTGGGCTCCCTGCTGGCACCTCTGGCTCAGCCCCAGGGCTGCAGCAGGCCTGTCCCCCTCAGCACATGCAGAGACAAGGAGACAGGAGCTTCTGGGCATGGCCTCCCCACCTGAGAATGATCCGCAGGTACTCGATGCCCTCAACTTCCTCGCACTTAATGGACAGAAGTAGGTTCCCCAGACTGCTGCCGGTGCAGTAAAAGTTCAGATGGTCCTGGAGACAGAAGTCAGCTGTTAGTGGGGAGGAAAGGAGCCCCCAGACATGCCTCCCACCCCCCCAAAAAAACACTGCCTTCATCAGGAGTGAGAAACCCCACAGCAACAGGAAAAAGAAGGCTACTATCACTACAGCTGGTATGGGGGAAAGAAAGAAAAAGCAGGGGAAGATGACCATTATAATAGGTTCATACTCAGACCTCAGGATGTATCAGGCTCTGGGCTAAGGGCTTAACACTGTCTCCTTTATTCCCAACCATCCCCATTTCTCAGATGGGTAAACTGATGTTCTGAGAGATTAACATGTTGGAATGACATGTAGCACCAAGGCTCACATCTGAATATGGTTTAATTAACATGACTTGTGGCACCCAAGTCAAAGTCTTAAGTAGTATCACACAACCAGTAAGCAACAGACTCAGAGTTCAACTACATGTCTGCCTTGAAAGAAGCTCAAAGTCTTCCCCTCCCTTCTTTGGGTCACACCTGCCTGTGCTCAGGACTTACTCCTGACTCTGTGCTCAGGGCTCACTCATGGCAGGGCTTAGAGGACTGCATATGGTAGCAGGGATCAAACCTGGTTAGCAGCTTGCAAGGCAAATGCCCTACCCACTGAACTATCTTTCCGGCTCTGAAGTACAAATTCTTTTCCAGAAGACAACACATCTACCTTCTTGCCTTTGATCCCAGTTATTTATGGGACTAAAGGTATAAAGGTAGAAGGGATCCTGGCACCACCACCAGAGGGCTGCTGAAAACCTCTGGGCGAGAGCTCCTCTCCAGGCACTGAGCCCACAAAGATCTGCCCTGTGTGAGTGTGACCAGGAGCTGTGTTTTAAGGACTCTCTCAAGATGGAGTCCCAATGCAACTCCTCCCTGTAGGACTGCAAAGCTGCCCTGGGTGGGCAAAGACTTCCAAAAGTTGCTAGGCCTGGAAAGTCTGAAGGGCAGAATATCTTTAAAGAAATACCACTGTGACACTTTTCAGCAATCAGGTGCTCATAGCACACAATCCAGGAACCTGCTTGACTAAAAAGGACAGAGAGTTGCACGTTTTTTTTCTTTTTGGGTCACACCCAGCTATGCACAGGGGTTACTCCTGGCTTTGCACTCAGGAATTACTCCTCGTGGTACTCAGGAGACCATATGGGATCTGGAAATCAAACCCAGGTCGGCCGCATACAAGGCAAATGCCCTACCTGCTGTGCTATTGCTCCAGCCACAAGCTGCAAAATTTTTGTTTTGTTTTTTGAGGTTTTTGAGGGGAGCAGGAGGGGCATCCAGCAGTGCTCAGGGGTAACTCCTGGCTGACTCAGGGGACCATATGGGATGCCAGGGATCAAACCTGGGTGAGCACATGCAAGGCAAACACCCTACCCGCTGTCCTATCACTCAGGTCCACAGAGTTGTAGAATTTTATTTTATTTTATTTATTTCTTTTTTCTTTTTAGGTCACACCCAGCGATGCACAGGGGTTACTCCTGGCTCTTCACTCAGGAATTACTCCTGGTCGTTCTCGGGGGACCATATGGGATGCTGGCAATTGAACCCAGGTCGGTCGTATGCAAGGCAAACGCCCTGCCCACTGTGCTATCGCTCCAGCCCCAGAGTTGTATAATTTTAGATGCAAATGGAGACCTGCACAATTTTCCATCCCACCCTTCCACCCCCACTCAAATGCCACCTATGACCTACTGCAGTGTTTACCAGGAAGGGGCTGGGATGACCACTAGGACACACTCCCCTGAGCTCCCCCAGATGCTTGGTTTCTTGTACACCCCCATCCCTGCCTCCAGCACAGCCAATCAGACTCCCCAGCATGGCCAGAGGGAGGAAAGAGGAGGGAAAGAGACACAGGAGAGAAACCCCTCCCCACTCCCCCCGCATAGCTCACCTTCCCAAGAAAGTGCCTGCGGTACGCCCTGGCCTCGCCCTTGCACTCAAGCTTGTAGCCGTAGGTGCTGGGGCTGAGGCTGTCCTCCTCTTCCTCTTCACAGATGCTGCTACCCAGCGAGGTCGGCGTGCCCACATTCTCCGGGTCCTCAATCCAATAGCCGCCAAACTGGGGGAGGACAATCAGGGGATATGGGCCTCCTTTCTCCACCACCTGGAAACAAAGAGAGGGTCTTGTTTATGTGATTTGGGAAGTGAGTGAGGTTTAGACCAGCAGTCGTATCCTCCACCCCCACCTCTGAAACTCTCCAGAAAGAGTTCCTTCCTATCAGCGGGCAGAGGCAGTAACAGGAAGCTCTCCTCTAAGCTCCAAACTATCTCCAGCTTCCCCAGCCCTGTTTCCCCCAGAGGGAAGCCTGGATCATCATCCCCTTGTTCGGGCTGGAGCAATAGCAGCGGGCAGGGTGTTTGCCTTGCACACGGCCAGCCCAGGTTCGATCCCCAGCATCCCATATGGTCACCTGAGCACCGCCAGGAGTAATTCCTGATTGCAGAGTCAAGAGTACCTGCTGTGCATCACCAGATTTGACCCCCCCCCCAAAAAAAAAAACACAACCATCCCCTTGTTCATGCAGGGCCAAGTGGTAATAACAAAGGGATAGGCAAGAAGAAGCCTCAGGACCTCAAGCCCCAACCCCAGCTTTGATGCTACATGATGCTGGGTGGGGACCATCGCCATCAGCTCCCCAGTCCCACCCCAAAACCCCAACCCAGAGCAGCAAGCAGACTGCAGTACAGGCTCCTACCTCATCGATGCTGGGATACGGGATATAATCATCCTGCAAGGCAAACCACACCACCACCATTAGTCTCAGCAGAGCCATGAAGTGTGAACTCTTATTTCCAAATCCCCCAGGGGCCGCGAGGGCTGTGTCAGGAGGCCTGGAAGGCTGCCCTGGAGCTTTGGGGGCAAGATCAGGAAGAGCACCAGAGGGAATCCAAAGGCAGCTCTGAGCTACAATTTCTCTAGACTCTTCCCCTGCTGGGTCGGAGCATTCCAAGCAAAGATGCATACAGAAAGGAGCTGACAGCCTAGCAACACTAGTTTCTCATCTTGGCCTGTTGTACCAAGGCAACTCTGGGTCCCTCCAGTGCCCCTCAAAGCAAAGGGGGGTCTCCTCCAAGAGACCAACTGTAACCCAGAGTCATACAAAGGAAACCTGAGGCTAAGGTGGACATCCAGTGGAGTCCAGGGCATGGAGCCCAACACTCCAAACACTACCTGTGGTTGGTTCACAGAATCGGCCGCAGAGAAGCCAGACCAAGCTGCAAGCCTGAGATCCCACCCCGGGCTGCTCAGAGACCACCAGGCAACACAAGCACAGCCACTTACACGGCTTTAGTGAGAACTGAGAGTTAGTGTAGGTAGAGCGGACCCCAGTCCTTTCTCTGAGTCCCCCTGACTACCCTCTCACCCACCCAGCCCACCTTATTCTTCTGGGGTCCTGGCTTCTGCTCTTCAAGCTTGATCCCCTGCAGAAACAAGGAAAAGAGGATCGTGGGAAAGCAGAGGTCACAAAAGAGGCCACACAGTGGAGCTTCTGGAAGGTGAGTGGAGGTGTTAGTACTGGTGGGGTTAGTCAGAACAACAGCAACAGTCAGCAAGCTGGGCCCCTGCACATCCGTCACACGCCTGTCCCCCTCACTCTTCAAAGCAGGGTTTGAGAGGGTGAACTCAAACCAGATCGCCAGGATTCAAATTCTAACACTGCCACACAGGACCACCCAACCTCAACCAGGTCAAAAACCTTCTGTGGCTCCGTGTTCCCATCTGTACAATGGGAACAATAATGGCACGGACTCTGAAATGAAGATTAAATATTGGTAAATATTAAGCACATGACAAGTAACTGATATCAAGTTATAACATGAATTGGTATCAGCTATTGGGATGCTCAACTTTCTCCCAATCTTCAAGAGCCAGAAAGTATGATGGGAAACTGCATCAGTGGGTGTCACAATCAGCACTCTGAACTCCTCACCATACCCCACTTTACTTCCATCCTGCTGGGAGGTCCTCAGGGCATAGGTCAGGGCCTTTGCCAGGTCCTCACCAACAGCAGTCTTACAAGGGGAGCCTAATAAAGCTGAGCTTCTTGGAGACCCCAAAGACTTCATCTGTGAAAAGAGTTTCCTCACGCCCACTCTCTTGCCCCACAGATGCATCACCCCAAGGACCAGACCCCAGGACGAAATCCAGGTGAGAGGGGTTCATGAGCAGGTGTCTAGAAAATTCTCTTGTGGGGCACAAAGCCTTGTCTAGCAGTGCTTGAGTCAAGTTCTGACTTGCCTGGCTGTCGTGGAAGGGGCGTACCTGGCATTCCCAAGACTGCCTGAATGAATCAAATGAGGAGATGAGACAGGGAGACACATGGAAAAGACCACGGCCCCCTGTGAAGCAGCCACAGCTCGACCCCAACAGAACACATGCCGACAGAACACACGGGCCTCTTGCCTTTAGTGAGCACGCCTCCTCACAAGCTCCCTCTGCGCCTTCCGCCTTCACCTCGGAGATCAGAGATGGAGGCTCCGGGGAGGGGGGCTGGCTCACTGCACACAGTGGGGAGTAGCTGGGCGTGAACTGCATCTGTCTACCTCGTGCACGACCACAGCCTGGGGCCCAGGGAGCCTGGGCTCCTGCTCATGGCGGGCAATGAGACTTGGGCTTCTCCAGAATTCTCCTCCCTGAGTCAGCCTGCGGGAGGATGTGGGCGGACGGGACAGGTGCTTTTCTCCCCTCACAGGAAGCAAGTTACCTGGGTGGTCCCCCAGCTCCAGCCCAGGGAGGCCAAGTGGGTGGAGGAGAGAGGGGTGATGTCAGGAGTGTGCTTTGTTTGTCCTGCATTAGTCATCCCTACCTGGGAACAGCCCCTGGGCAGGAGAGCAAAGCTCCTCCCGAGTCCTCCTCAGGGCAGAGCCACCGCCCAGCGCCCAGCACTGGGCTCCCTCCCCAACCTGTGCCCTCCTTGACAAAGGTCCTATCATTCCCCTTTACCCCTCCTCGCTCTGGTACCCCAGCAAGAATCTATAGCACAGAGAGGCGGAGCCACTTGGCCAAGCAAACTCAGCCCAAAAGTGTCAGAGTTAGAATCTGACCCCAGACGGAATGGACACAAAGCCTGCACACTTGACTTCTGCTGCTTCTTGTGGGATGGCGCCCTGCTTCAGTCCCCGGACTCTGGGGGAAAGGAATTGGGAGTCCTGGCTCTTGGTTACAGCTTGTCCCAATCAGTGTGCGCTGGAAACCAAACTGTTATGAGACCTCATCAGCAGAAAGGCAAGAGGAGAGACGGACCCCGCACACAATGATGGAATCCAGCCACACCCCACAGCCCGCTTCCTGCCCACTGGACTCCCACATATGCTTCAAACATAAATGGAGCTGGAGCCCATGGGCTCTGTGAGGTAGTAGCCCCATGGGCACGTGGCAGAGACCCAAACACTGGGCAGTTGTCCACTGGGACGGGACCAGCAAACCAGCCCTGGATGTCAGGGACATGAGTTCTGAGCATGAAAATCAGTCTGCTGCTCCAGAGAGGTCCAGTAGGAATGGAGCCCCAGCCAACAGAGTGACCTACAGTTGGACAAGTGGGGCTAATTGAGGTGGTCGAATGGAGAAGCCCCACCTAGGGAGAGTAAGGAGCCAGAAAGGAGCAGGTGACTCCAGTCAGTGGTGAGCAATGGTGGAGCAATCAGAGAAGGCAGGGTGAGGACAAGGTGAGCAGCAGCCTCAGGACAGATTCCCAGGGGCTGGGATTCAAGGGTTGGAGGTGAAAAATCCCAGCCTTTCCATCCAAGTAACTGAGCACGTAATTATACACTGTCTCCCACCACTTCCGTTTCTGCAACTTGTAAGTTTCTGAAATGCATGTGAAATTAGTTGGTAGTTCACATGCTGTGGGAAACAGAGGCTACTTACTGTGATGATGACAGCACCACTAATAAAACGTTTCCCTCCAGCAAGCCCTCCCCTTCCCACCCCTCTGGGAGACCCAGCTTTCAGCTTCTGCAGAGGCACCGTACTTGCCTCTCCTCCAAAGCTTCCAGAACATACTCCCATCCTTGAGCCTATAGCATCTACCAGGGGGTCAAAAGAATCATAGCAGAATGTCTGGCTAAACCACTTGCTAGCTGTGAGACCTTGAGTGCTTTGTTTAAGATCTGTGCCTCGGTTTTCTCATCTGTGAAATGGAAAGATAATAATAGCAATATGCTAACTTCCTGCCTGGTCAGGAGAAACGTCTGTCAATTTTTGAGCCCAGAGAAATGCTTCAAATATCAGTGCTATTATCTGCATCTTCTTCCCACTGTTCCACCTGGATAAATTAAACCATATTCCCAGGTGAGTTGTTCTAATTTATGAGACCTCTCTTGAATGTCAGGTAATTACAAAGGACCCCCGCACGCACATTAAAGACAGATCTTATGCAGTCAAGAATTTACATATATTATCTCATTTCAACCAACTACCATGCTAGTAGATATTTTTATTCTGATTTATTTATAGAGACTGTGATATTGTGATTTATAATAAGAAACACAGATTTGGTCTTCATTCAGTTCCTGCCACAAAGCTCCTAAAATTACCCTTGGAATTTCCTATGGGATAAGCGCAACAGGAGCACTTAGGAGCATTTTTCTGTTCAGGATTTCACCTTTTGTCCTAGGTTCCTGAAACAGTTCCAGAGTCATAAAAGTGAAAAGGCTTGTCTTGTTTTTCATATACTTATGTTAATGAAGTGGCTTCTTGACAGCCACTAAGAATGGGGGAGGCGGTTGCCAAGGGAACCAACCAAGATTAGAAGGCTGGAACTTTTAGGTCCCACCCCACCCAACGAATGTACAGGAAAGGGAGAGGGGCTGGAATTGAGTCAGTCACCAGGACTGAAAGATTTCATCAACCAGGCCTTGCAAGCCAGCACGTGAAGGTGCTGGGAGAGTGAGTGCCAGGAGCATGGAAGTTCTTTCCGCACACCTACCCCTTTGCAACATTTCCATCTGGCTATTACTTAGAGACTCTTATAATACATTGGTAAAGGGGTAAAGCACTTCTCTTGCAAGTAGCTGACCCCAGCTCACTACCCAGCACTGCACAGGGCCCCCTGAGGACTGCCAGGAGTGATTCCTGATCTAGGAGTCAGCTCTGAGCTTAGTTAGGTGTGGCCGCCCCAAACTAATAATAACAGCAATAATAACACATTGGTTCTTGGTAAGTAAATCAATCAAACCCAAGAACAAGAATGGGGATAGCCCCAATTTGTAACTGAGCATTCAGACACCCAGGTGACAATGCCAGGGAAACAACTGTCATCTGAAGGCTCTGGGGTGACCACTGGGATCAGATGCTCTCTCCAAAGTAGGCTGTGTCAGCACTGCCTTGAAGGACACCCCCATGGTCACAGAACTGTTTGGGGGAGGTGGAAAAGGAAGGACCGTCACTGTGTCAGTGAGAGGAAAGCAGTCAATGGAAAGAGGAGTGAGCAACTTAGAAAACAGAAGGAGCTTTGAGCTAGTATGTTAGACGCAGGCCTGGAACTCAGTTCTGTCTCCCAGCGACAAGACAACACTCCTAAGAAAGGACTTGCTCTCAGATTTTCTTGCTAATCCATTCCAGAACAACAGACCCTCTGAAGTCCACTGATCCATTTTGCAGTGCAGGGGAGGGGGGCACAGGGGGAGTACAGCTCTGCTTTAGCTCCTCCTCATTCTCTAGCCAGGGGGTTGGCACCCTCTGTGCTGCTCTACAGAGAAATGGGCTAAGAGGTTGTTCAGGCTGTGGAAACCAGGAGTTCTTCCTTCTCTGCACCTCCCTGAAAGGTCCCCAAGTACTGCCAGTGGGTTCTGCCTGCGGCGCGTCCCTTAAGGTCACTGTCACATTCCCACCAAGTCTCAGCTCCCACACTTCGGGGATACTCACCTGCATTTTCTCCAGCATTTCGAAGAATTCAGCTGACTGAAAGACACAAGAGAGAGAAGACCATCAGCCTGGACGTTGGGCTAGAGACAGGCGTCAGCTAGGGACCAGCAGTGGGAGCCTGGCCCGGGGCCTCCCTAGGACAAGATGAACTTGGATCATTAAGAGAATTTTATTTTGCAGAGTTGGGGGACCAAACAATACTCAACCCAAGAGACAAAATTAAATGCACTAAGCTGGCAAATGGCCCTGGGAAGAGCTGTCACTTGGCCTCTGTCAAGAGGGAACCCGAGGGCGAGTGCTGGAAACATCAAGTTCCCCAAGCCACTGCCTGTCCCAAGATTCAGTCTCCAGGGATGGACAACGGGTAGGGCGCTTGCCTTGCACACAGCCGATCCAGGTTCTATCCTTGGCACCCCATATGGTTCCCAGAGTACTGGCAGGAGTATTTCCTGATTCCTGAGGGCAGGGCCAAGGAGTAGCCCCTGAGCACCACAGGGTGTGGCTCAAAAAGGAAAAGAAACTGGGCACAATGAAAAGGCCAGGCCCAGATGACTTCCTTCATCTGTGAATTCTACCAAATTAACATTAATTCCTCATAAGCCTTCCAAAATTAGAAGGAACGCTTCCTGACTTATGCTACGAGGCAAATATTACCCTGACACCAAAATCAAAAATGTTGTAAGACACTATAGGGATTAGGAGGACAGCAATGAGGGCACATGAGTAGAATGTTCCCAACCTGAGTTGAGTCTCTGGCACCATATAGTGCCCAAGCGTGACTGGGTGCAGTTCTAGAGGCCGACAAGTACCACCAGGTGTGACCCTCAAGGCCCTGAGCATTGTTGGGGTAACCCAAGTGATACCCAGCGCCACAGGACCTGAGCAGCAGGCCATCCTCAAGCCCTTGCACTGACTGCACCATTGGTCTGGTTGGCCAAGAATCACTGGTAAGGCCCCCAGGCTGCTGAGCACTACCCAGAAGGCCCCATCCCAAAAAGAAAATTACAGATCAGTGCTGTGGCTTAAAGGGCTGAAGCACACAGTCTGCATGCAAGAGACCTAGGTCCTATCCCCAGCACCACATGGTTCAAACCGCACTTCCAAGAGCAAGCCCTGAGCACCGTGGCAAAAGCAATCCCCATGGATCACTGGCTGTGACATGAAACCAAAGCAACAACAACAACAACAAAAACAATAAAATAAACACATGGAGAACTACAGATCAATAAATCTTACTAATATACATGCAGAAATTCTCAAAATGCTAACAAACTAATCCAAAAGAATGTAAAAATAATTATACATAATGTCTATGTGGGATTTATCCAAGGAATACAAGCTGGTTGACAATCTTAAAGTCAATTAATGTATATATTATATAAATAGAACAAAAAAAACACAGTATCATCTCAATAGACATCAAAAATAGAAGGTTTGACAAATTCCAGAACTCTGGTCTAAAAATATTCAGAAACTAATAAAAGGGAAATTCTTCAATATGATAAAGTATATTATAAAAATGCACAGCTCATATGTCATACTGAATAATAAAAGAGTAGATACTTAATCCATAAAATAAGGAAGAGCCAATGATATCCACTCTGACCACTTCTATTTAACATTGTACTGGAGGTTCTCACCAAAGAAACTAAACAGGGAAAAAAAAAGGCATCCAAAGATATGAAACTCTCTCATTCACAGTTGACATGACCTTGTATACAGAAAATCCTATGAAATTCACTACAAAAACTATTAGAACTAATATAAAGTCAATTTATTAGGATTACAAGATATTGAGCCATATAGGAAAATCAACTGTATTCCTAAACATTATCAATAAATAATCTGAAAATAAAATTGAGAAATCAAGTCCAATTACAAAAGTATTGATAAGAAAAAATATTTAAGCATAAACTTAACAAAAGTAGTACAAAATTTATTCCTCCCAAAATTCAAAACATTTATGAAAGAAATTAAATTCTAAATAAATGCAATAAATTCCATGATCATATTTGGAAGAGTCAAGATGATTTAGATAGCTACACTCTCCAAACTGATCTACAGATTTGACACAATCTCTATCAAAACTCAAGCTGGGCTCACTGTAGAAATTGCAATGGTGATTCTAAAATTAACATGGAAACTCAATGGGTTCAAAATAGCCAAACATATTTGAAAAGGGAAAAAGTGGTTGGAGGGCTCACATTTTTCAATTTCAAAACTTTTTTACAGGACTAGGCGGACTAGACAGCGAGCTCAAAGGGTTAAGTGTATGTTTTGCATAAAGGAGGACCACAAGGTCCCCAGTCTCAGCACCACAAGGTCCCTAGTCAGGAGGACTCACTGAGTAATATGTGGTGTGACTCCCCACTCCAAAGAAAAAGTTTTTTACAATGCAAAAGGCAAAAGTAATTAAGTTAATGTGGTACTGACAAAAAGATAGACATAGATCAATGGAATTGAATTTAGAATCCAAAAATAGATCCATATATCTATGGTGATCGATTTTCAACAAGGGTGCCAAGACCATTCAATGGGGTCTTTCCAAGGTGTTATGCTGACAAAACTGAAGAGCCTAGAGCAAAAGAATGAGGTCAAAACCTTATCTCATACTATAATCAAAAATTAATGGCAAGTGGATCTGCAATTTAAATGTAAAGCTATAACTCTTACAGGAAAATGTAGAAGTGAATCTGTCCTTGGACTTGGCAATGAATGTTTAAATAAGATGCAAGAAAGAAAAAGGCACATGAGAAAACGCTCTACATCACTAATCATCAGGGAGATGCAGATCAAAACAACAATAAGAAACCATCTCACACCACAGAGACTGCCCCACATCCAAAAGAACAAAAGCAACCAGTGCTGGTGCGGATGTGGCAAGAAAGGAACCCTCCTTCACTGCTGGTGGGAATGCCAACTGGTTCAGCCCTTTTGGAAAACAGGATGGACGATTCTCAAAAAATTAGAAATTGAGCTCCCATCTGAGCCAGCAATACCACTCTGGGAATATACCCCGAAGAGGCAAAAAAGTACAGTCAAAATGACATCTGCACTTCTATGTTCATTGCTGCACTGTTCACAATAGTCAAAATCTGGAAAAAACCCAAGTGCCCAAGAGCAGATGACTGGTTAAAGAAACTTTGGTACATGTACACAATGGAATACTATGCAGCTGTTAGAAAAGATGAAGTCATGAAATTTACATACAAGTGGTTCTACATGGAAAGTATCATGCTAAGTGAAATGAGCCAGAAAGACAGGGACAAACATAGAAAGATTGCACTCATCTGGGGAATACAAAATAACAGAATGGGAGTTGAACACCCAAGAATAGTTGAGATAAATACCAGGAGGTCTGCTCCATGGCTTGGAAGCCAGCAAGATGCGTGCTGAAAGTAGACTACAGACCGAACACAATGGCCACTCAATACCTCTATTGCAAACTACAACACCCTAAAGGAAAGAGTGAGCAAAAGGGAATGCCCTGCCACAGAGGCCGGGGAGGGGGGGGCGCGGGGGGGAGGGCTACTGGGATCATTGGTGGTGGAGAATGGGCACTGGTAGAGGGATGGGTACTCGATCATTGTATAATTGAAACCCAAGCACGAAAGTTTCTAAGTCTACAACTGTACCTCACGGTGTTTCACTAATAATAAATAAATAAATAAATAAGATGCAAGAAGCACAAGGAACCAAATTTTAAAATCAATTAAAAAAGACTTTACCAGAATGTAATTTTTTCTGGATCACACCCGATGATGTTCAGGGGTTACTCCTGGTTCTACACTCAGAAATTACTCCTGGCGGTGATCTGGGGATGATATGGGATGTCAGGGATCAAATCCAGGTTGGCCACAAGCAAGGCAAATGCCCTACCCAATGTACTGTAGCTCTGGCCCTTGTAAAACTTTTTTAACAAATACTATCAAGTGAAAAACTTTTCAAAATAAAAAACTTTTGAGGAACAGCCTGTTTCAAATTGTATTTGTAAGAAAGGATTTATATGTAAAATATAAAGAATTCTTAGAACTCAAGATTAAAGATATATGGGGGGTCGGAGAGATTGTACAGTGGGTTAGGCACTTGTCTTGCATGCATCCACCTGGGTTTAATCCCCTGCATTCCACAGTCCTCTAAGTCCTGCCAGGACTGATCCCTGATTCCTGAGTTCAGAGTCAGGAGTAAGCCATGACCACAGGTATTGCCTAACAACAATACAAAAAGCTGATATGCTGCAGAAGTGGGCAGGGCACTCATCTTGCATGAAGCCAGCTCAGGTTTAATCTGTGACACCCCAGATGGTGCCCTTAGCACCTAGAGGAGTGACCCCAGAGTTCAGTCAGGATTAAGCCCTGAGCACTGCTAGGTGTGGCCAAAATATACAAAAATAAATAATTTATTTAAAATTAGCAAAAAATGTTCAATGCCATTAGTTGCTGGGAAATGCTAATCAATACCCCAATGACAGATCACTTTACACCCACAAGGGAGACTACAATCAAAAGAACAAAGAGCAAGAATTAATAAGGATGTAAAGAAATTAGAACCTATACACATTGCTGATGAGGATGCACAATGGTGTAGCCACTATGAAAAGTCTGGCTGTTCCTCAAAAGTTAAGCATTGACCCAGCAATTCCACTACGAGGTATATATCCCAAGAGAAATGAAAACATGCTCATATAGAAATTTGTTCAGCAACGTTCATAGCAGCAGTATTTATAATATACATAAAGTAGACAATGTTCATCAACTCACTAAAAAATAAATCACCGGAACTGTACTCAGCTGTAAGAGTGAAAGAGTGAAACAAAAGATCCTGCCACACACGATATACACATTGAAAGTATCTGCTGATTCAGGCCGAAGAGACAGTACAGGGAGTAAGTTGCCATCTGCTTGCCTTGCATGAAGCAGACCTTGACACGATCCCCAGCACCACATTCTGTCCCCCAAACATCACCAGGAGTAACACCTAAACACAGAGTCAAAGGGAGCTCTGAGCACAGTTGGAATGGCCCAACCCCCACCAAC